TGCAACTAAAACGAACAATAGGCTCCTTGAATCATACTAGACACTTAAATAACAGTGAATTTTAAAAGGTAATTTTAATTTTATTAATTCGTATTAGTCAATTGATTACACAACACATTTATTACACAACACGTATTACTCCATTGATTGCACAACACGTATTACTCCATTGATTACACAACACGTATTACTCCATTGATTACACATCACGTATGGACAGGAAAAATATGGATACTTGATAGAAAACAGTATCTAACATTACATATGTATTAAATTTATACATATGTTTATTACATACGGATGAAATTTATACATAGGTTTACCTGTGTATGAAGAACATATTGTTTACCTATCACTAAATAACTGTAAAATGTATGTTTCTTTTACGTTGCTGACCCCATGTTAAATACACTTGTTCATGTGATAGACTATAAGAATACAATTTCGAGCCTATGCAAACCATTCGGCTACACGGGGTCCAGGGTTGTTTGGTCGTGGGTCGTTACATTTATATGTAATCAATGCAAAAAAAATGGGGGATAAAACTTTATTATTGTTCGAGCTGATTCTGTTAATCCAAATGAATATATCACGTGACCATAAGTTATCTTCTCTTTTGAGTACTCCAAAGCAGATATACATCGTCACACACCTAAGCTTGTCCGATATATAATTTGCTTGTTTATAATGATTCATCAAAACGTGCGTTTCAATAGTAAGGACGTGACATTAATTGTATTTAATTAGTGTGAATCATAACAAGCCTATACTTGTCATTAGCTTCTCGTGGGTCAGTGGTTCATTCCGTGGATTTCCCGGTTTCTTTTTCCACCATTAATACTGGCCGCCATGCATAACCTATCGTGTCAGCATTAAGCCCCAGAACAGCAACAAAAACAACAACAATAACAAGCATATACTTATTATTATGTATATTTAATATGTACTGTTTGTTAGTTTTCTCCATGAATATATTATACTCGGTATGTATAATTGCATTGTGGACTTGACCTTATCGAAAATTAAGCTCGTTGTGTTTCTAACTAGATTCCTTCATTTTGTAGACAAATAATACATATTTAGTTATTTTTATATGAGTGTTGGATAAATATTAGGATCATTATCAATAGAAATAAACATATTTATTTGGGACTGGATCTAGGATAGTTTTATTCCACATAAAACTACCTAGCCTATCTGATATTTACCAACTTCTTTATTATAATTTTAATAACAGATTTTATCTTCTTAACATTAGAATTAGATTTAGAAATAAACTTGACCTACATCTTGATATTTGTGTGTGTGTCTTTTTTTATATATTCTTGTTTACTTGAAGTCTTGTTTACTTGAGAAACTATCCATTCGTGTGATAATATATGAAGCAGAAATCATCTGTATTGTTTTGATCCGTATTTGATTTGGATAAAAATATTTATTCAAATAAGTATTCACTGTAAATATTATGTGTTCTTTAATAATATTCTATGACGGAAACATTAATTCATTCTATGAAAGAAACATTAATTCGGAATTGTAGTTAATTCAGACAAGAACGTCTTAAATGACATTATTTAGATTAATTTGAAGACTGTTAGTACATCATCAGTCTTCATTCTACTAGTACATTAACACATTCGTGACTACATACTCATCAACGCCTTCCACGCCTGATCATATTTCTAACACCACTAGAATTTAATTCTAACTTTATTCATTAGGACTGATTATATATCTTGGTAGACTATTTGGGATTTTATTCGCAATAGACTTTTTAAAATATGTATTATTGTCTCCGCCTGGTAGGAACTCTTTCGTGCATCTTTTGCTCATGCGTTAACTGCCACTTCTATTTCAGCAGGCTGTGTCACAGCAATATAATGTGACCATATGCATAATAACTTGTTTCGTAATTTCTGTACCAATATAACAACACAAATTTACAACAAATTTAGTAAACAATATTGTTCATGTTGATTGCAGTTTTAAAATTTAAACTCTTCCATGTATATTGTTGTTTAACCTTATATTCAAATCTCGTTGAGACCATAAATGACTTGAAACGTCACCATACATTATTAATTTGACGATTGTTTTGTATCTTTCTTATAACTGCTGACCCAGCATACAAAAAGGTCTCTGATCACACGTGTCGTGTTACATTTTATAAACAATTCCTTTCAAACAGAAAGAATGTAGTGTTTCTACCATAATATCTCATAAATCTAAATCGAATGGAAATTGTTAAATAGATGATGGTTGCTTCAAGTTCCAAACCATAAAATCAAACCAGTTCTTGTCCGTAATCGCCGATTGTCCTTGCTTTTACAACAATATTCATGCTTCCTTTTTAAGATTACATTGCAAATGAGGTCTAGTGTACAAAGAAATATAATTGCGGGCTTCACCTGACCTGAAAAGAGTTAAAATAGAGTCTTGAAAAAGAATTCACGTACAAAGTCGGTGTCCCTCACTATTACATAGGCATAATTAATTATATATTATAATACGTTTTAAAATTTAATTAGGAGGTTATGTCAGGTATACTGTGAAGGCAAAGCCATACATTTTTCT